CAACAGCTTCAGATGACCTGCATCAGAGAGATGCTTACCAGGCAAGCGTGGAAGTCACTCATGAGCAGCATCCCTCGCCAGCGCACGCCACGCTCCTGTGAAATCGTATCCTCGAAGGTGCCGCGTGGGCCTTCCAAGCGACGCATCGTGCGCCAGCACCGGTTAGACTTATGCGTTACCGTGTCAATTTTTGATTAATTGTATTCCATGATCAGGTGTCCCTACCTCGCCAGGATGTATCTTGTGATAGTGTGCTATGCCTACGAATAATACGCAGTTCTGTTATGTCCCGAAGTGATGTGAGCACCGTTATTTTCGTATGTGTTCAAGCTTCGATCGCAGTCAGTCCGTCATGAATCAGTGGCGTGGTTCGTCATGACTTATAGTCGTGATACTGACACACATTGAGCATTTTCCGACACATCCATCACTGATCTTTGTTTTTGATCTTTGAACGGGCTGTTTTCTGGCTTTGTCGCTCCTGTTCCTATTCACATACCGAAACTCACTTAAACTCGCTTATCAAATAGAAGGAAATACTAGTTCCAAAGGCAGAGTTACCACGTAATCGCAGTACGCGCCAGTCTTCAGTTTCTCCGGCTGTGGCAGTGAAGGCAGCCTCCGGCTGTCACCGGTCTGCCTCGTGCCGTTTGGTTGGTGGCACCACACTCCGGAGAAGTTGGCCCGTTGGCCGCTGGTGGCGCCGCCTGTACTGCCTTTGCTCAGTGGCGTGCGGGGGCGCTGCCGCCGGGTGTACTCCTCGGACGTTTGTCGCTTACCTCGCGTGCGGATTGCCCTTGAGGCCTGTCCTGAGCGTAAACAAAATATCTCCCCGATGTGCCGCCCAGCATTTGTGAAATAAGGAAAAAAACGATGGCGTAAATAAGCGACAAACATATTTGGGCAGCAGAATAACGTAGCTAAACCGCCGTGAGGTCACAAAGCGTACTGTGTGACTCGGTTTCCGGCGATGTCGATCTTTACATCAGCCTCGCTCGAGGGCTACTAGCAGCCGGGTGCATTTGTAACAAATCGTTAGTGCTGGATCGTAAGTAGTATATCTCATATTTTGTTGCAATGTTCCTTTTGACGATAGAATAAGGGGTGAGTGAATAGAATAGAATAAAGAGTTCGCCCTTGATCCGAACTGGCGGAAAAAACTACCATGTGGTTAGGTGTGTGCAAAAAGTAAAACTGAAATTATGAACATATTTTACATCTGCGACGAAGGTCCAGCAGCCCAGGGGCAGATGGACATGCGGGGCACACTGTGGCTGTGGGATGGGTAGCCTATGACACACAGAGATAGAAATTAAAAAGGGTGTGGGGAGGTAACAGATCCGGCGAAAGACCGTCCCGGCTTTCATCATTATGCAAGGTGTTCACTAATGTTGTGCGATGGTAATTTTTCATAAAATCGGAAGATTCATCTTGAGCAACAAAAATGCAAAAATGTAATTTTGACCGACGCGACCACGAATGTTTGTGTATTGTTGCTACGTATAGTTGGGCCTATGTTGTCTGATGATGTTGAGAGGGTCAATGAAAAGTTAGAACGCATTATTCATACACCCTTTATGACAGTTTTTCCCATGATGGAAACCGATAAATGCGGAGAGTAGAATCACTATCTAAGAAAAAAGCCAATGTCCAGAATGTCATTTTTAATGACATACGCACACGCACACACGCACACACACACACACACACACATATATATATATATATATATATATATATATATATATATATATATATATATATATATATATGTATATCATACATGAGGACATTGCGTATTGTCCGGGCAATACGCCATGGCCTGATAGGTGTTTGTCATGTATACATGCGTACATATATGTGTATATATAGATATATATATATATATATATGTATATATATATGTATATATATATATATATATATATATATATATATATATATGTAATATGCACGCGTGTATGTGTGTATAATGGCATAATGCAGGCATATGAGGCCATTATGTCATGTCTGATCTGTGTACCACCCGAGCGATCTGCAAGCAGCATATTATTACGTACGGCAGTCGTCCTTTATTCACTTTGGATCTCTCATGCACGATAGCAAGCTTGCACCACACGGATATCCAAAGAAGGATCGTTGTTTCCCTTGGCGATGATTTGTATTCAAGCGGCTTGCATCCACATGCGCCCAGCGTTTTTCTGATCGACCTCGTACGCGAAAGGCCTTTAAATGTCGCGGATCTTAGTACCATGGCATGTTTTGCATGACAAGCAAAAACGCTCGGGAAGGCGGGTTTTTGTCGACTCACTGAAGCTTCTTCCGACTGCGGTCCAGACCGCTCATCCATATGGCACTGGGGACGACAGGAACCTGACCGGCTGGGTATTTCAGGGAATGCTTCGCCTTTTCACTGGGCCTTCGAGTGTGAGAGCCAGTGAGAACCAGCTCACAAAGCTCACAGCTCACAAAAAATCACACAAAGATGGACTCACAACATTGGTAACCTGCGGCCGGCGGCGAAACGAAAGGTACGCCTCGTCTGCCCTAGTTTCTGGAATAACGAACGAGCTGTGTCAGGTTGGCCCTTCAATTTTCAGCACCTGACAAAAGATCAAATGAGCACAGTCTGGCGAGATAAGTGTTTGATGCTCCCTAGGACACTGAGCAATGACGTCATCAGTGAGGGCTTGCATTGCGTATGTTGCTTCCGCATGCGGCAGTTCTGTCTCTTTCTTTGTTTTAGCTTATTTTGATGAGATTGACCAGTTGATGAGATGGCCTGCAAGTCGGCATCGGTCTCACTACACGGGACCGCGTCATACCTCATCAGAGGTCATAGGGATTGGTAGCGTATTAGCGTCAAACCAAAATGAATTGTTAAGTGATTAGACATGACTGACATTTCCAAGCCAATCAAGCCAACATCTATATGAGCACAATGCCCGACTTCTTCAAATGATCTTGACCTGGCCTCAGTGGCCTTTGATCTTCTTAACATTTAAGTATGGTTACAAAGTGCAAACGTTTGCCCATCCTTTTAATTGCAGTTAAAAAGATGTATGAATAATATTGCGCATATCAGAGGGCTCTTAAATCTCACACATTTTCGTGATTTCAAATGTATAATGCGCTGTGGCGTACGTGAATCCATCACTTCGGTGGTGAGATTGGCGTGAGTACTGGTGCCGTTTGGTGACTTTCGATCAAGTGATAAGCTCCTGAGGTGCCGGGTTGTGGAGGAGACCACTTCCACCCTGCACCAGGTGGTTGAGGAAGTCGAAACACCTCAGACAGCGCCATGTTAGGAACTAAAAGGATTAAATTCCAGGGCTTAAACACCATTTACCTATCGGGCTCATCATAAAGAATGCCGTTTCTCCTGTAATGACAACAACGAAGGCCAATGATTTGGCCGCCAGGCGCCGCTGGCAGCCAGGTGATTCGTCGCATAAGATGTTCGCAGTGTAACGAAGCGGAGCAGAATCTGTTTGTTCTCAGTGATGCTTCCGGGATTTCTTAAATGAAACAGAATAACATGAGCCCGCCTATCATCGCTGTTACATCATGTTTGGTCCTTTTCTGATGTCACGGACCCATTGTCGCAAAATCAGGCGTACGAACTGCAGCGTTGAGCGGTGAAGGGCTTAGGTCCATTTAAAGAAGGTTTTAGCATCATCATTTCTAAAACTAGACAAATTCTGGTTAAAAAGTGGTTTCTTAGCATATATAAATGCTGACAAAAGAGATATATCTGCTCACCGTTTTCTCCAAATTATGAATGGTAGGTTCATTAAATGGGATGCAACAACTTCAAGCAAGTCTTTATTCCAAAAAAGTAGTTGTTTAACTTAAACAATGGCAGAACGAGGCACCTTTTCCCACCCACTGATACACAGTTTCCTTCCACTCAAGAACTCGTTGTTTCCTTCCTTTAAGGCCTAAGCCACAGACACTCGAACTGAACCACGTCTATTTGTGCATTTTGCCTTCTTTAAAACACCTCATCTGTACTACACCATGACTAATGTGATCTCAGTCGGCGCTTAACAGAGGCTAGCGAAACCGAGGACACACAGCTGGATGGGCCTGCCAGCTCCAGTGCGGGGCTGGGACAGGTGACCGGTCACCCGGTGCGCCCCCGGCGCAGGCGACCTTTCACCCGGTGAGGCGTCGGGACAAAAATAGCGCAAAACTCCTGCGTATACACTCGTTTGAATCGTCGACATGGGCCTTGTGTTTTCAGAGAAAAGAACTGGACAAAATGCCGCACATAGTTACCCATGGGTAGCTGAATATCCCAGTCAATGCCGGCTTAAACTTACGTTCTCACAGGCTTCATGGGGTAGAACGTACAGAGGCCAGAATCTAGTCTTCAAACCTACACCTTTAGCCTAACAAAATGAGCTGTCTAGAAGACACGACGTCACAAAAAGGTCCTGATGTGATAATTCCTATGGACAGCAAGAGGCGGAGTCATCCGAGCCCATTAATCGCGTTTGAGGTGGCATCGCGCTGCAATTGGATTACTCGCACAATTTCAGCAAAATGTTCGTCTATCATATAAAGGAAAGCAGATGTTTATCACCCGTTTTTTGTGTCATGCACTGTTGCAATCGTCCCGCGTTTCCTTTGTCATGTTCAACCCAGCTTCCAAGAAAGATAGAATAGAAAAGCCTTGCACTTCATTTATGTTTCTATGATATCATCATTCTTGGAGTTATCAACGATTCAAAATTAGCACAGAACCATTCAGCGATTTTAGGAATTTCGATCCATCTCTGTCATAGAATTTGTGATACAAAGGCCGCTAGCAAATGGTACGTCCGTGCAGTGATAAGTGGACTACAGATATTATTATCGTGTGCGCAGAACATGACACGGAATCGGCTCGATGCAATGATCATAATGAATGTAATCAAACGCAATCAATCGGTGGTGACGCCATCTGCTTCACCGACAAATAATCGTGTTGCATAAGCATCAGAAGACTAGCAGGTTACGTTACAGACGGACCACATGACACATGATACCACGTGGCTAAAGTACCTCATGTATTCACAGCCTTCGCTACTGCACATCGGATCGCGCGTAGAAAACGAGCAACAAAGTTGAACCGCAACACCCAAGATGAGTTGTGTAAATGTCTCTGGAGTGAAAGCAGAACCTCAGGCTGCAAGCAAGTCGTCAGGAATTCACGTCCTCACCCAGACCAGCTCGAACATGTTTCCCACGAGCCCTTCATGCCGGCGACTAGCCTGCGCTTGCCGGCGACGCGGTTAATGTTGGAGTGGATCGTCCTGAAGCCGACGCGTCGCAGCTCGCGGAGCGCGCGGTAGTAGCGGCGCAGCTCGGTGGCCGTCACGTTCATGTGCACTTCCATGCCCATCTGCCGGACGGCGCGCAGGCTCTCCATGTCGCCGCTCAGCCAGTCCCACTCGGCGCCCTCGATGTCGACCTTGAGGTAGTCGATCTGGCGCCGCTGGTGGCCGAGCAGGGCGCGCAGATCGGTCAGCGTCATCACGCGCCAGCCGCGGTGGTCGACGCGCGAACGGCCCGCCAGGCCGATCCGGTAGAACCGGGCGCCGAACGAGGTCACGTTCGGTGCCCATGGATCCATCGACGGGTCAAAGGCATGTACCTCGCAGCCGTAGTCGGAGACGTCGCGGTCGAAGCTCCACTCGTAGCTGATGCCGACGGAGTAGACGAGGCAGTCGCCCGGCGACGGCGCGTACTCAGGGTCCAGGCAGATGAACTTGTCGCCGTCGATCTTTCGGCCGACGGAGATGCCGCCGAAGAGCGTCAGTCGCTTGCAGCAGAGCTCAGGGTTGTACAGGTAGTGGTACAGCGCGCGGGCCAGCTCCTCGTCGTCATCGGGAGGCGCAGGCAGAAAGGGCTGGGAGGATGACAGCATTTCCGGCAGCCACTCCACGTATCCGCCGCGTGCCGGGTGACCGAGGAATTGCCTGTGAAAAGCAACGGTGCGGGCGTGCTGTTTGATTACTTTGCAGTGGGGCTACCGGCCTCGCTGCAAACATGGGCGTAGATACTACGGTAAACACACTCTCAAATGCGTCATCAAGACACCCTTACAAATTAAAACGGCCAATCATCCATGCAAAGTTTCCGGCAGTGTTTCACATGATCACGCGAGCATTGACCGCTGCAGTGATGAAGCATACAAAGAAGCGCAGCAAAGTACAGTAACGTTTCATATGTTTTGCGGCACAGCGTTAGTTTTCCTTAGAGACTTGGTCCGGCAGCTGTAGAAAAGCTACATACAACCGCATAAACGTCTGGGAAATCAGGATAAATCTCAACTCAAATTTCCGAATTCAAGGAGGCTATAGTGTCCCTTTCTCTCGACAGCGTCCCCAGCAGCCCCAACTGATTATCGACAAGTTATCTACCAATGAGTGACGATCAGCAGGCCGAGGAGACACAGGCACGTCAGGCTGGACACATTGCGCAGCCTGTTGCTGACCACCATCATGGCGCCCGGTGATGTGCCCGATCGGTCTGTTGACCTCTCGCGACTGGTGACCTCTCGCGACCCCGAGGGTGTGGCGGGCCTCCGTCGCTGTCCGGGTGTGGAGCAGGCCGCCCGACAGCACTGGATCCCGGCCGACACCCCTCAGTCCGTCGCTCCGGTGTCGCGGCCGGTGCCCGCCGGGTGTCTGCAGCCGTCCGTGGCAGGCTGTTGAGCTGCCTGCAGACACCCGGGAGAGGGCTGCTGAAAGGGCTGGTCATGGTGTGGTCCGCACTGATTCGGAAATCCCAGGGGAACTCGTCACGGCTCGTGGCATGAGGCATAATGTGGCATATTTTAAGGTTGGTTTTATCTGGTTAAGTATGGTTTAAGGTATCCAATTTTAAGGTTAAGGTAAGCATATTGTCTCCGACTTGTGTTCGCTGTGCATGTACCTTCAAAGGGTTCATGACGAATTCAACAACATGCCTTAGGAATATGGTTAGTTTCACCCTGGGCGTGAGGCCTTTGGGTAAGTGTAACCCTTACATCATACGTGTTAGCACTCTGTGCAAGAAATAAGTAGCTAGAGAACTCTTGAGACAGACGTTAAATGATTGATGCCTATACTGTTATTACCGGAACCAGGCATGGGAACTACACCGCCTTCGGTTTCGACTTCGGTTTTATAAAGCTGCATTTTTCTTCCAAAGGCTTTGAGTTCGGCTTCGGCTTTGAGCCATTTCCACGACTGTTTCGGATTCGACTCAGGCTTTGTGCCACTTTATCGTTTGACTTCAGCTTCAGCTTTTTGGTAATTTTCAAAAGAATAGTTTTAATTTTTGCTTCAAGCATTTTTGGATTATAGCCCCAGCTTCAGCTTCATTCAACCCTGACCTGTCGGCTTTGCTTTGTCATGGTGACTTTCTTCAACGCGGTTAAGAGCTCGCTTCACAAGACGCCCTACCCCTCCCGCCGTCACATGCCACACAACTTTTTTCGGTTGCGAAGGATGCGTGGCTGGAGGCCAACAACCAGCCGATTATTCTCAGGACCAACTACAACCTGGTGACGGCCGCAGAAGCGAATCAACCGAAACGTTATGTAAACGCTAGCACACAAGGTGAGTACGCTGGTCCGATGGTTGGCATCCGGAGCCTAGTTCCCTAGTTAGCCTAGAGCCTAGTTAGATGCCTAGAGCCTAGAGCCTAGTTAGCCTAGAGCCTAGTTAGGCGCCTAGTCTCGAACCCTGGTGACCTTTTTTATTTCACAGTTCAACCAGACACGAAAATGGCTTTAGTTTTGCAAAACAGCGCTATACACTGCGTTCAGCTTCGACCTCGTAATTTTAAAATAATACGTTCATGTTTGGCTTTCCGTTTCGTAAGACCCCGGCTGCTGACTACGGCTTCGGTCTCCGTGTTCAAAGTTTGAAACAGCTAGCTTTGCATTCGGCTCTACGTTTTAAACATGCGAGGCTACTGGCTTCGACCTCGGCTCGGCAGTTTCAGACTTCGAAGGCACCGGCTTCATCATTGGTTTAATGTCAACGCTTCGACTTTGGATTCGGTTTAGAAAGACTGAAGGCAGACTTAATCTCGAAGCCTGGCCGGAAGGGCTCCGTCGGATTCGACTTCGGAATTGAGTCACAGCTCTTTGAGTCGGAATCAGTGTCGACTCAAAATTGTGTGCTGGCCGATGGCAGAGCTAGAATCGAGCCCATCGAATCCAAGGCGGAATCGATTCCGGCGCAATGGCATCGAGCACAGGTCTGCCAGACATACGGAATAATGTTTGACACATGCACGGCGGTGGGTAATGAACGTTTCAAGGCACAGGACTAACAGTTTTGACCTCTGAATATTTATATATATATATATATATATATATATATATATATATATATATATATATATATATATATATATATATGCCTTGTCTGAGGCTCCTCACGAGATGTCCTACGCTCCCTTCCAGTCTCCCACCCCCTCCGACGGTGTAAATGGCGCGACGTTCGACCATGCTCGATAATCCTAATAACTAGTGGATTATTTAACGACCGCGCAACTGCTAGGCTAGTTAGTAACCTTGGCTGTTGCAATGACGCCTGAAAAATACAACAAGCACGTCCGAGACCAGAACCCGAGCCTCTGCTTCTCCGGTACCGCCGAACGCACCGCCCACCCCATCCCAGCAGCACTCACCTGTCCCTCCAGTGACTCCTGCACCTCCACACGCCCGGCACCTTCCCCTCCGCTGCACAGACCTGTCTGCCGCCGGGCAGTCTTGGCGCCGACTGGCCGGTCCAGACGGGACAGTGACCCGACGCTGGCCTCCCGGGTCTCATCCGCCGGGCCGAGCGGACGAGCCTCGGCTGGCGGCGGGCTCGGTGGCGGGGCGGCGGGACAGGTGGCCAGGGCAGTGACGCGGTGCTCCAACGGATGGGGCCGCAGGTTTATGATGGCGTGCGCCGGTGCTGCGGACGCTGTGCATGATTTCGTGGCGTCGGGGGGGATGAAGTGTTACTGGCACTGAGTTAACAGGATACAACACCCCAGTAATGAGTGAGACGGCATGCACCGCCGCACACACACACACACACACACACACACACACACGCACATATAGATATAGATATAGATATAGATAGATATACATACATATATATATATATATATATATATATGCACGTTGTTGCAGACTTAGATGGTATGCTTTCATTGCTGCAAGCTTTGTTATATAGAAGGGCGAATGTATATTTAATCAGCTTCTGGCGCGTTCGCCAGATTGGTCGAATTAATTCCTTCGTTGTTTTCGGTAGGCCATATATCAGTTTGCCCATAGTCATTCAACTAAAGTTCGTGTTAGCTAACTTCAAGGAAATTCGTTCCCCATTGTCAAAACAATGTATGTCATGCGGACAGAAAGCATTCGAATATGGTGAAATACGAGGCACACTTTACGAGTAATAGTTAA